ACATCCTGCTGCGATGCCGCAGGTTTCGACAACTCCGGCGCCAGGAATTCGGAACCCTCCCAGGACGACACAATCTCCGGGTCATACTGAACAAGCGCAAAGCAGCCGCCAAGGCAATCCGATTCATAGAACAGACCGAGATCCTTGGGCAACACGGGATCGAGTCGCAAACCAGACTAAGCTGAACATTGGGGGGAGACTGTAGGTACGCTGAACCGTTGTACGAGGAGAAAGACCTCAATAGAGCCTAGACATACGTGTACATTAGTAGAGAACCGCGAACTACACGAGGTGCCAGCCAAGGGTAGTTGAGGTTGGAGAGCAAAGTGGGAGATTTGGAGACAGCTGGTCGGTGTTTTGCACTGGCGAAGTGGGGCGCTGCGGATTAACGTCCGGAGCGCGTCGGCTGTTGGCCAAACCCCGCTATCCGGGCATAGCTGCTGACTAAAGCGGCCAAAACCGAGTAGGAATCAATCAAATCAAATCAAATCAAATCTGACCATACTGAAGATCTGTCACCTGACAAATGGATTGCACTACACCTCGTGCGCACATCCTTCAACTCGGCCATTGTCCGAAACACTTCAGGGAAGGTTTGAAAAAGCCAGATGAAGGAACTAAACAGCGCAAAAAACATACAGGCCTGATAGCACTCTTCAACACGGTTGAAAAAATCATGGATACCGCACCAGCACAATGACTGAGCTACCCTGCCGAAACACACGGGCTGCTCCCAGATATCCACATGCGGGAGAACACGCACTGCATCAATCGTGTACAAGATGGATATACGAAGCCTGGGGCTCAAGGAAATTGCAGCATGCCCCTTTCCCCTGGTCGCGCTAAGCGCCCTCTATGTTCTTTCGCACAGCTAACTCCTGCCCAATACGGGGAAGGGATGTACTGACGAAGTGGCGGTGCGTTGAAATGCCAGTTCTCTTGGATGCCGAGATCAACTTAGACGGACCCCGATCCGAAACATCCAGAATCAACACCAGCATGCCCTAAGGATCGCCCTTATCACCGATAGCCCACCTTTTCTACCACCAACGCCCACTGCCTCTACCGGAGAGGACGACAAACGACATGGCATATCATGCTGCCATGCGGCAGGATTTGAAAGCTCCGGCGCCAGAGAATCGAAGCGCTTCCAGGAAGACACATCTTCCGGATCATACCGAACAAGCGCAAAGCAGCCAGCAAGACAGTCCGATCCAACCAAACCAATACCCTTATGCAGCACGTGATCGAGTGACAACCGCACAAAGCTGAGCATTGGGGGAGACTGAGGTAGTTGGAACCGTCACACGAGGAACCAGACATCAAAGGGGCCTAAAAGTATACGTATATAAATGAGCAGAGAGCCGCCAAATAGACTTGGTGGCTGCCAGGGATAGATGAGGCTGGAGAGCAATATGGGAACGTTGGAGACAGCTGGTCAAGGTTTTGTATCGGGGACTTCGGGTGCTACGGATCAACAGCCGGAGCGCGTCGGCGGCTGGCCGAACCCCGCTATTCAGGGATAGCTGCTGACATAAAGACGGCTGATCAGATAAACCAGTCTTTAAACACGTGGCGTGCCTTGCTCGAACTCCGCAATGACTGATTAACCTCATCATAGCTTCCATGGGTAAGAAAGTGAAACGGATGGCCGAGTCCAAGACTCTCCTTAGGGAGATTGCAGAGTAAACATCTTGAATGTATGACCAACTCAGGATGAGGACTAACTATGGCATACAAGGCTTTTCAATAAATCAGACCATGTCGACGTCAAAATTCGTATCGGCGAGTTCGAGTTGCCGGCCCACGGCTTGGTCCTAGCGGCTCACAGCCCATACTTCAAGAAAGCCCTCAAGGGCAACTTCCAAGAAAGCGAGAGCAAGACGTTTCAATTCCGCGAAGGAAGTGCACATGCGTACTGGAGAGTCTTCGAGTTTATGTACACCAACAATTATTCCGAAGAAGTCGAATCGATCGAAGCGCAAGGTGGCTACTCAGTACTTCGAACCTAGACCAGTGCTAATCTTTGCACAGATGACGCCGATGAACTGATGAAGCACGTGCAAGTCTATGTCTTGGCAGATTTCTTCTTGATGCCAGAACTGAAGAGTTTTGCCGTTGAAAGACTCAAACCAAAGCTTGAAGAGCTTCGGGTGAGCGAATCTTTCGTAGGCTGTATCAGAGAGACGTACGAATCAACCAACCATTCGGGTCAACAGATCAGGGATGCTATCCTTCGAGTCGTTAAGATAAACCTTGACAGCCTGTGGTCGAAAAAGACAGTTCGTGATCTCGTGTATGAAGGAGGTGATTTTGCAGGCGATCTTGTCGGACAATTCGTGAACCGCTCAAATAGCAAGATCAGTGTGAAACAGGATGAGATTGAAGAAGCCAACTCTTCGTTCTAGCCATCAAGAAACAGGATGAGCGGGATATTCTCGATTTAATCTGTGTTTCGATTCTATGTATGGGTAGTCGATGCTCACCCCTCCGGTTTCTGCGACAATTGTCATGAACGAGAATAGCTTTGTGGTAGTATTTGAATTGTCTCTTTTTAAGTCGACTATCAATTCCTACCCCTCCCGCAAGTCAATTGTGGTACTTGTTGCCCAGTCCATGTTCCTGTGGCGGCGAGACATCACGCCGCAACATGTGCCCAGGTACGCATTTGAAGTGACGCGATACCGAAGTGACCTTATTCCATCTGCCTTACAATATGTTATCAGGCATGAGTCGAGGGGTCATGACTCGCCGCCATCAACGCTCGTAGTTTGATCCTGCGCGTGCACGTGATGGCTGAGGGCATCAAACACTGCATTCTGTCATGCCTTCGCCCGATGCGTTCGAATTTGAGAGAGGTGCCTGCGTATGTAGAGGTCTGCTGGGTAATCCCTTGGATAGCGCTCAAGTGTCAAGTCGTCAACACAAAATTGCTGTAAGGGACATGGCATACGCTCATGATACGGTCCCGTGAATGTCGCGGGCATGACGCTGAAAATGCATCTTGTTGTTGAGAGTCATGTCGCAAACCTTGCAGTCTACCTGATCGCAGCCTGCGATTTTGTCAAGGTGCTTTCGTTTGAAGTGTTTGGTCAAGTCATTAGAGGTGTAGAACTCGTGCATAAGTTCGTTCAACCGCTGTTCATCATCCGTAGGCAGACACAAGGCTTGACCAATACACACGAAGCATCGTCTTGGCCGCTCTTCCTTGTCAGCAACAAATACGGACAGTGTAGCTTCGTATAAAGGGGTGCTTTCTCGTGGGCAGCCTGACGAAGAAGGAAGTGGGCCCTCTGCTGGCCTATGCTGGGACCGGCGCACCGTACATCCTTCTTGAACAAGACAGTACGCAGACACCGCTTCGATGGCATCGTCTCTTCGACGGTACTGCCCTTCCAGTGTCGTGACAACTGGGGCTGTGAGCTTGGCGAGCAATCGCTTTTGTGCTGGTCTCTGAGGGTGACAGGGATCCATTGTTGCCGGTTTGGCAAACCCAACGCCGCGAATTTGGCGCTCGATGTCGTCTGTGGCTTGCTGGTCAGTCCATTCGTCCCTGATTTGCTGTTTCAGATCTCTCCTGAGTCTCTCCTTTTCTTTGCGCATCATCCGTTTGGCTTCTTTGTATTCTTTGGAGCCCAGAGGCAGTTTCGGAATAGCTTCCGTAAGTGCTCTTATGGTTGAATGCGTCGCAACAGAGGCAGACTGCCCTGCCGTCAGATCGATTGGACGACGCTGCGAGATGGAGTGGCCAATGCTGCAAGACTGCTTGAGAAGTGCTTGCTGTGGCTTCTGTCCACGGACGATACCCCAGAGACCAGCAGAGATGTTGCGCCCAAGATAGTGCCTCTGGAAAGGGTCGGAATTGCCGTGTCCCATGGCCAAATTTCTCAGAGCCTCGCTGACGTCGACTGTAATGATAGTTAGTGCAGTCATCACAGGAGATTGCGCATGACAGACCACTTTGGTCAAATGCATTGGCAGCGTTGTAGCGCAGATTGTAGGCTATCGTAGGGTCCTTGAGCCCCATAATTTCGCCGATTCTCTTGACCCAGGCTGCCATCATGCCATAAGATATGCGTTGATTACGGGACATCTGATAACCCGTCAAAGTCTCGACAGCTCGACGAAAAATGAAGGTCTGGTTGAGGTCCTCCCTCAACGGCAAGGGAAGCTCTTTCTCGCCAGGATGTATGTCAAGGCTTTGAAGGTGATGCGGCGAGGTAAGACTTGGTGCACGGAAAGCTCGGTGACGGAAAATGATGCCCAGGAGAAAGACGTGGGGGCTTAAGAGCAAGGACGGATCAAACATGGTTTGGGGGATCGTGTATGTTTTCCTGAGACATTAGCAAACCGCGGCGATGGCACTAGAATGAGAGCATACCCACTGTTCCTTTTCGCCGAGGTAGGTTTTGGTGAATTCAGGAGTGAGCCGAAGAAGAAGCTTGTGTGGCCCGCCCTCTGGGTCCCTTGCCAAAGCGACCCGAATGTCCTTGAATCGTAGGTTGAGCGTCGCCGTTGGCCGAGAACCAGCAGGGGCAAGCAGGAGGAGAAAGAGTACGGCGAGGATGCGCAGTTCCCCAAGCTTGAAGGACTTCTTTGTTGTGCTAAGCGTAGTCTCATTCTGCTGCATAAGGTCTTCAATCACCATACAGCGATTGGCTCGCCGCTGTTCGTTCATACTGTGCCTCTTCGATAAGCGTCGCAGAACCTGGGCTGGTCAGTTGTAGGACTGGCTTAGGTCCGGGAGAGTTACCTTCCCTGTGCATGCTGCGGTTCAGCTTTGGATCAAGCTTGTCGCCCACGGCTCTCTCGTAGACGAGCCGAAAGACCTTCCAGTATGTTCCCAGCGAACTTTTCTTCTTGATTCCACGTTTCCTCCTGCCGTCCTTGCCGACCTTTTGGTTGAGTAACCAATCGAAGAAGGTGTGCATGATGCTGGTCGAGATGGTCGCGTAACACTGTTGGACGTCGCGCTTGATGACAGCGCAAAATCTGTGCGTAAAACGTGTCAGCGAACAGAGCGCGAAAAGGAATGAGAAGAGCGCACTGGTGCCATTGTCCCTCGACGGCATCGAGGAGCACCGTCGTCCCCAGACTGTAGTCTTGACAGGCGAAGGAATCCTCGTTGAAGCTCTCTAGCTCGCGCAGCCAGTATTCAGATGGATGCACATTCCCGTCAAAGAGCTTCATCTGGTCTTCCATATCGTAATCCTTGTCTTCGGAAAGGATTTCGTCGTAATCGCCGCCCATTTCACGGAAGCCTCCCAAGTGATTATTTCAAAGGACTGCACATGTGACTGCTGGGTATAGCGATCTGGATTACCTGGATTCTAGTAGCGCTGTTGAATCCCCAGAGACATCACACTTGGCAACGGGCCCATGCTGTCCCGACAGCAGGGGTCAAAAGGCCCTCATCACCTGTTTCCAGAGGGTGGGAGACAAAGCGCCCTTGCTCGACTCCTGACAACGACAGCCAATATGGACTGCCCAGCCACTCCGGAGCCAGGGTTGATCGCGTTGGATGGCGCGTTTGGTTCGCCCGCGCAAGCCCGTTCTGTCACACTGGCTTCAGTACCTGCTGCGCTTGAAGTTGATTCCGATGCTGGTGGGAAGCGCTTTGTAGCATAGACATAAGCTACAGGCACTCGTCATTGCTTGCTAGGATCAATAGATAGTCTCAAGTAGCCTTTGCGAAACCCTTGTACTTTACCCGGGGCTAGGCCTAACACGAAATGCTGCATGCCCTGTCGAATCAGACTCCTTTGGTCCCCCAGCGCACGGGCTCCTTTATTAACTGGCCGCGATCCGAGTTGATTGCTACGAAATGGCTTTTGCTTGGAACAGACGAACACCGAGGCGTCGCCGTTGAACCATGATCCACATGTCCGAAATGGATCTCTCAACTGATCGTTAGCCGCACTAGGACGATGCTTCATCAAGTTCCTGCGTACACTACCAGATGCGCTACCTAGAGAGATTTGTGGACGGGCCCCAATCGAGTTACATCCGAGTCTCACACAAAGTTAAAGACGATTTTGGCTTACGCTCGTATCAAAGTCTCCCCCGGTACTCCTAGTCTACCACCCAGAGGGTGATCAGCGCAGAGAGGATGCTCAAAGTCCACATGCTACGTAGCTGTAATCAAGGACAGCACCGATAACTTGAGTGCTTGCATGATGAACTCACGAGCGAACGCAGTCATAATCAGCTAATAGGAAGATCAATCAGCGCTTCTAATTTCACTCTGGGCGCGCTGGAACCCTGCCTAACATGGACTTGGCAGGATTATGAATATCTCGGATGGCAGGAAAGAAGTTAGCACAAAGCAATACATTGAGTGTCTCTCACTTGGCCAGCTCACTTCCTGACTGCTGCATCGATCGAGGACAGTTGGTGGATGTGATCTACAACTGCCGCTGCACAGTGAACACTGTTTCGAGAAGAAGTGCTGATGAACCCTAGCAACAGCAGGTGGGACATGGATTCCTCCATGCAGGTCAGGCCACTCTCGTAGGGAACCTGCTCAAGCAGACTCCCGCTTGTGCAGCTTTGCTTGTGCGGCTTTGCTTGCGCGGATTGCTGCCTAAGCGGTTGTGTGCTTAAGCACATTCCTGCGCAAGCGACTCTGCTTGAGACATTTTACGCGTGGGCGGCTCTGCTTGAGCGGAATCCTGCGCAAGCAGCTTTACTTAGGCGGCATCTTTGCGTGAGCAGGCATGCCGAGGCAGTCTTCTGCGTATATAGCATGAGCGGACAGATATGAATCTAGTTAGCAATATCAGCAGCCGCATAAAGTTGTGAGCATGTGTTGCTCCCTCTTCTGCTCACACGCTCGATGTTTCTAAAGCCAAGAGCCGTATGCCTCCCCGTTCATCAACAAAGCGCTGACCCCTGTCTGGTACGTGCCTCTTGTCCTGAGCCCACGGTTTTGGCTTCGAGGTCAACCTCTCGAATAGCTTTCGGGACTCGACAGTCAGGCTTGCCCGCATCCAAATTTCCCATAGGCAGATGGAATGAACGCCAATCTGGCTGCGCTCGCGAGATAGCTGTGACAAAAGCCCAGGAATCCAACGACCGCAGAATAGGCTCAAAGGCGACTCCGCTGCCGCCTATGCCTCATACGTTCGTGTGATATGTTTGTTTGAAAAGGGATGCATTGGAAAGAGCAAAACGACAACTTACTTGTCATTTTATGGTATTGTATAGTAATATGTATGCAGTACAGTACTGTACTGTTTAAACTGTACCGGAAACCTCAATCTTACTGCCGCAGCACGATAGAGTCACTGCTTCACTCGCGTGCATAGAACTTGGCCGGTGCTTGTCGCAGTCTGTATTATCCAACAGATCATCATGACTTTTCGTCAGCAGCCACCAAAGAAAAGGGACAGAACCAACGAGAACTGCGACAAAGCGGTCAAAAATATCATGTGGCGTTGTGAGCAGATACGACGACGATATGGAGCCGATGTGTACGTCCAAGTCCGCTTCAAAACCAGGCTCTATGAGTACACGTCTTCCGAAAAGCCCGAGTTCCCCAGGTCCAGAGCTGAGTTGGTATGTTCAATCAACCTATGATCCTCCAAGGCTACCCCCTAGGCTAAGATTTGGAAGAAAGCGACCTACCCTGTCCCGGTAGCAAGATCGCCGCTGGACTACACGGAAAGAAGACCTCGAGGCGTCGTTGAAGGTCAATCTAGCGTAAGCAGCGGTTGAGTGCGACAATGTAGCTGTCCGGCGGAGAAATGTACTTACAATAAAGCCCATATTGCTACATACAGCTATGGAGTAATCCATCGCCCTACCCGATGCGTACTTTTGGTGTTCCGCTCTCCTTATGTCACCTGACGCCGACCAGACCGTTTGCCGTTCTCTTCAACCACTTACATAGTCGGAAACCGTTCGCGCCTTCGATCATCAAAGTTGTCTTTAGTTGTACATCGAATGACATGTTTTGTTGGTCTCCTACCGCTTCAAAGTTGATTCCGAGGCATCGATGTTGACCCGGTCCGCTCACTGGCAAGCTCTATGCAGGGGGAATCCTCACCAAAACCGCTGGCAAGACGGGCCACCCTCCCCTCTGTCATTAGTCGAGACATACTGGCCATTGACTAGCATAATTGCCCCAGCGGAGTCTCTATGAAGTGAATGATTGTGATTTCAGGGTCCTCAGAGACCATGTAGCCCAATCCGAAGAAACACCTTTATTCATTCCATACCAGCGAGGAGCTGACGGATCTAAGAAGGCTAAAAAACCATGCTGCAGTTAAGGAGGATCGACGGGGAATGTGGCTTGTGCGTCAACAGAACTCCACACGGTCTTTCCTGCGGGCGCACGCAAGTCGACGCTTTCTATCAAATCAGTTGCCCAGCGACACAGTAAGATGCATCCTATTGGCTGATCGGATTTCTTTGGTACCGTAGTTCACTGAACACAATCCTCGAACCTTCGCCTTATCAACCACATCCACCACAGATATCATGAGTAGGACAACAGACGCTGAGGAGCTGGCCAAGCGTCTGCAACTAGCAGAAGAACGAGCTGAGAAAGAACGAGAACGCGCAGAGAAAGAACGAGAACGCGCCGTGGCGGCAGAAAGAGAGCGACAACAAGAAAGAGAACGCGCTGACAGAGAACGAAAACGCGCCGACACTGCAGAACAGCAAACCCAGCATACGTCACTCGATGAATACATCGCTGCCTGCCATTCCCTCGTTTTCGCCAACTTTACAGTCGAGACGGACCGCAGACTGACTTCCAGGGGCTCCATCACAAATCCGCGTAACAAGTTGTGTCCCACCATTCTACGGCCATGGTCCGACTTCCTGCACCAACAGAGCATCGTCTTCGGCACCCTTTACGATACTTTCCCTGCCGATAGACGCTGTTTCGAGACCCCGTCGTTTCTTTCCGGGCTAGGAAGTAGGATCGCGAAGCGCAAGATCACTGACGAGAAGGCCCTCGAGTACTTTCTGCACAATAGCGTCGAGGACCCCGTTAAAGCAATTTTGGACGAGCTCAGGAAGGTGGAAGAAGTCAAGACTGTGTTCGATCTAGGCAATGGAATCGTCTTCGAGAACCACCCGCATGCGCTCAGCGACGTGGCTCCGGAGGTCGTGGAACGCAACCTCCCATCGACACCCCCCTCCACACCGCACGATCGTAGAGTCGACCTCCAACAGCTACGGGCCGATCAGATCTGCGTCTATCGAACCGAAGACGTCGACGGCGACCCAAGCACCCGATCGATGCTTTACGTTTCCGAGTATAAACCACCGCATAAACTTACTGCACCACATCTCCGCCTCGGTCTGCGCTCGATGAATATACATCAGGAAGTGGTCAATCGTAAGACGATCCCAACATCGGTCGACCCAGACGCGCGATTCCAGTATCACGCGGAGAGACTCACTGCAGCCGCAATCACACAGACCTATCACTACATGATCGAAGGCGGACTCGAGCACGGCCTGTTGACGACGGGTGAGGCGATCGTGTTCCTGAAGATCGACTGGCGCGAGCCCGGGACGTTGTTGTACCATCTGGCGGAGCCCTCTGCAGAGGTGGAAGCCCACCCCAAGCACGCCCACCTCTGTACGGCAGTTGCTCAATACTTAGCCTTCAGTCTGATGGCCCTTGGCGTGCCAGGCGAGAGACGGCTGCATGGCCAGGAGGAGCGGCATCGAGCCATCAACAAGTTGAAGATGTGGGGGGAGGACTTCGAGACGACGCTGCGATCAATCCCTGACGAAGAAAGGCATCCACCAGACAGCTCGCCAGGCTACGAACCAAAGGCATACAAGAACGTCGACAGATCTCCCTATTTGCTCCGAGGGAAGAGGCGAGGACTTGTGAGGGACGGGCGTACGACGGAGCAAATGAGGAGGGACCCGAACGAATCTTCCGATGAGGAGCCGAGACGCGACGTGCCAGACACACCCACTCCTACGGAACGGCGAGCACGCGGAAAGGACTCTCAAAGCCAGGCGGGTCAAGGCAGTCAGGCGACGCGACGCAGTAAGCGAGTTCTGGCGCGTCGGCCGCGAGGCGATGAAGACGGAGGAGAGAGCCACTTCAGACACACACCATACTGCACCCAAAAGTGCTTGTTAGGCCTTGTCGGAGGCGGTGTGACCGACTCCGCGTGCCCGAACAAGTTGCTCCACTGCAGGAAGCCTGCCAATGACCGCGGCCACTGCCTTGGTCGACAACGTGCAAATGCTCAGCATCCAATCGACCGGACTGAATTTCTGAGGCTTCTCCAAGAACAACTCGAGCGGTCCTTGGATTGTGGTATCGTGCCCTTACGACAGAGCGGTGCTCGTGGAGTCTTGTTCAAAGTGACCTTGCTTGCGTATGGCTACACCTTTGTCAGCAAGGGTACAGTAGAGGCATTCATTGAGGACCTTCAGCGCGAGGCAGCGTTTTACAAGCGTCTACGAGTTATTCAGGGCGTCTACGTACCGGTATTCCTCGGATCTATCGACCTTCGAACGATCAACAGAACTTATTTCTATGACCACCGAGTTTATATAGTGCATATGTCATTTCTGTCGTGGGGAGGACAGGATCTCTACGAGATGAAGCGCACGGACTGTAGAGTTGAAGACCTAGAAGCCATGAAAACGCGGTCATTGAACGAAATCCGTGCTCTGGGTGTTGAGCACCATGACGCGAAGAGGGAAAATATGCTATTCAGTAAGGAGGTCAAGGGCATCATGCTGATCGACTTCGAAAGGGCGCAGTCTGTGAAGCCAGGTCGCCCCCCACTCGCGCAACTTGTGCCGAACAAGCGCAGACGGACGGGGAAGGCTCTAAAGGGCAGCGACTCAGTAGTGAAGTCAACGAATAGAGATCAAGACGATGGGGTACTTCTCGGGGGACGGTAAGATAGTGGAGGATTCTGGGCATGTTGGATAATGTACAATTCACTTACTCGTCCAATCTGAGGGATTGAAAGTTAGCAATATTTGCAATCTCGCATGAACCGTCCATAGCACGCAGTGAGTTGGTTTGGTGCAGTGTTGACCAGCCCGAGCTGTGCCTTTATGGAGCATCTGTATGGTATTGCCATGTTCGTTTTCGGCTAGTCGTTGGTGCCTGTCGAGGGAACAATCCCTCAAGGCTACTGAGATTCGTTGGCTAAAAGAATAGAAAGCGTAAATGCGACACCTCCATTCCCTATACTATGGGGCAGTTTATCACAGTCTTACAAGTGAAGGTGCGCTTAAGGTGAACCTTCTCCCCTCCCTCTATCTATAATCTTGCGAATTGCCAATGAGCTTGTTAACGAGATATAGTTCATCTTACGTATGTGTAGGATTGGGATGCAATTCGACCTCAAGGCAGGGGCCCGGGCAGAGCCACTTACAAACCATACTTATATGAATCGCGGCCTGCCCACCCTACGGTTGGAACCTGCTTTTTACACCTTACGCAAATGTTTATATCGTTCAAATGACCTCTCCTCGAACCACGGTTCGAACCAGCTACCCTGTGATAGGAACACCAACAGTATGACTTGGTTTTTACGTACCGCAACTTATTATCCTTAGCGACTTAAGGTCTCAGAGGTCTGGAAAGTTTCGTTTCCTGGCTAGCTATCCTGTTGTAGATATAAATTAGCTTCTTACCTGATGCGCTAGATGCATGGAGTTCGATGCCTATGCAGGATCGTTACCACAACAAATCCCACAGCTACCCATCCTAGGCTCTCGTGGCTACCATATCCACCAGTGGGCACGCGGGGAGGTGAGGGTTCGAAAGTTCGGCGTTATGTCCTCTTCTTACCCATCTGGTAGTACTAAATCGGACCTGCAGGCTGCAGATAGTTACGAAGTATATATGGGAATGAATATCATTTGTAGATGACCTGAGGATGATAGCGTGAAACATAATTCTATAAGAGGTTGATTACTACGGTATGTGCGTAAGAGGATACTCCGGACGCCTAGGTCTCTGCGATGCTACCTTCGTTCTCTTTGTATAAGCTGGGACATACTATATGGTGTTCAGCAATGGGCTCTCATATAACGGTGACCAAACGGGTTGAGCGCGTGCTTCCCTGTTGCCTCTTCTCGGTCACTTGTCTCGCCAGGCTCCTACGCTATACGAGGGAGTACATTTACGGCGCCGGCGCCCCATCCCTCAACTTGCTCGCAGTGTCTCCACTGGATAACCTGACGGCGGCAGATCTGCTAGCACATCTCGCGCATTTCCTCGCACTAGGCATTGGACCACCGAACGAGCGAAAGATCTCCCATATTATAGTTCCCGAAGCGGAGTGTAAGCCTTGGCTGCCGTCTAAGCATGCTCCGTGAAAGAGGATGAGTGAGTGGATCCAAGCAAGGCTAGAGCTCGCGCCGTCGGACGGAATAGTATAGCAGCAGACGCATAGACTCATAGAGTTAGCCGCGTGGCTGTCAAGTTTTCCATTGAGTGCTGTAAGGCGACGGTACATACGAGTGTGGGGCACTAGCTAATCAGGCATTATTCCGGATTATTTCCAACATATCCGCGAATTTGGCAGATTTGGAAGAAAGCTGGAGACCAATGTACTGTCGCCTTGCAGCACTCGATAGGATGATGAAGAGCAGTCGCTACTATATTTCGAGTAGACGGTGTACTGCGCAGCAAATGTAAGTAGTGCCCCGCCCTTAAAAGGTGTTTGGGCAACCCTGTAGTCTTCGAACCCCGTAAAGTACTTTGTTCTGCCTGTCCATAGTAGTAATCCAGAAACTGTTCACTCTAGCTTTTCGTCGACCTTGGTAGACGATGGTGGACTGAGCAGCACATGTACATGGATGAAACAAGGTTTGGTATTGGCGGTCGAGCCTCTTGGCATGATAGCAAAGCCGTTAGGTACTATGGTGGAGTGAAGCTCATGGCGACGCTGCAAAGTTGGCAAGCGGTGTAAAAGATCCCTGGCGTTCACCGCTCTAATCAGCAGGCGGTGAGCAAGCCCAAAGAGAAGTACTGGGTGATGAAGCGGATACTATTTGAGCAGGCGGTGAGACAAGCTGTGAAATGTCTTTTCGCAAGCACAAGATCCAGTAGGCGGTCAGACGGCGTTGCTGTCGAAAACAAACATGGGCATTCCAGTTACGGCAGGCGGTGCGTCTTAGTATCCTTGTCGATTCTTTCGTATCTTACCGCTATCGCAAGCTTATTTGATGGCACACTCATTTAGTCTCAACACTGGCTGGAAAATGTAGACGACTATTCTTCTTGGAGAGGTTCAGCTCAATCGTGAACTACTTTGGATAAAGTGCACGCCATCTACTGCCTATAATGACGTTCACGAATCACAGCGGGCAGACATCACAAGAGTTTTAGAACACCTTGAAGATTGATGAAGAGGCAAAACCCAGATTCAATTCAATGCTTTAGCTTCTTACTGTAATGAACTTGGAATGTTTGCATACTTCGACCCTGGAATCGGCGAGAAAACTCCCGGTATATAGCCTTCCACGAAAGGTTTTTTTCCTCTTTTAAGTGGCGCAAAAGTCGATCTTCGGCTTCTGAGAAGCGCGGTTTACGCCTCCCCGGTGACCGTGAAAGGCCCGCTTCAGGCAACGAAGGACTCGAAGGCTGTAGAACCTCTAGTGGGTTTCGGCATCGATGGCAAATACTCGTCTTCTCAAATTGAATCGAAATAGTCTCTTTGTCAACCTCGAAAACGCGCTTAAGGACAATGCCGGTCAACGGTGCGTCGGGTACGGAAAATTCTTCGAAGGTTGCGAGAATATTCTCATGCGATGCGTTCCCTGACCGCGGAGGGCGTGAAGTCAAGTAGTGCTGCTCAGCTCCACGTGGGGCGGGAATACGAGAGAGATGAGGACGATTTACAAGGGAGTCGCAATACCACAGATGATGTACGCATGCTCGCTGTGGTCCAACAACGGATGGGAAGAGATGGGCTAGACGAAGAGAACATTACACAGGCTGCAGAGGCTCCAAGCCAGAACAGCTAGGGCAATATGCGGAGCATACAGAGCAACGTCATTTCCAGCACTAAATATAGAGATATATCTCGTGCCAATCGAACAACAGATATAGAAACACAACATCGACACCATCAGCTGAGTAGACATAGCCAAAGTCACCGCACGCAAAGGAAAGAAAATAAGCCCGAGACAAACAGTAAGAAATCGACTAAACGATAGACAAAACGCAATTAGCGAACAACATAAGCACATACCGCCCTTCGTCACGCCCGTGGTAACAAGGACCGCGCATCCACATCGCCAAAAGCACGAAGCAGGCTGAAACAGAACATAAACAATGTCTGGAATAGATCACCAACGCAGTACACATTTATACTGACGGCAGTGGCATCGACGGTCAGATCAGGGCCGCTACAGTCTACACAACCACACAGAAAATAAAGAAATCTCACATAGGAGACAACACAACATCCACAGTCTACGCGGGAGAGCTACAGGGCATCGTTATAGCTCTCGAGATAGCACAAGAAAACAAGGGAAACGGGAACTACCAAAGCAAAGTCTTCATACACACCAACAACCAGGCTGCCATCAGATCATCAGCCAAATCAAAAGGAAAACCCGGCGCGTACCTTCTCAAAATCATCGCAGAGAGGACACAAGCTCTCCATAAACAAGGGCTCGACGTCGAGGTCCGGTAGGTGCCAGCCCACGTCGGCATCCAGGGCAATGAAGCAGCAGACATCGCTACCAAAGAGGCAACGGGATGGAGGCCGAACGGATAGCCAGGTACTAGGGCAAAAAAGCCGAGTGGCCTGTTCAAGCTCAGGTCGATAGTTAAAACATAGTCATATAAATAGTCCCACTACGCGTAGCAAACTAATTAAGGAACCGAGACGCGAGGAAGGACGACGTTCCGTCTCACGCCGAAGCTGATAAAGAAGGTCCTCGAACTCCACGAAGGCCTTAGTAAACGCTAAAGCGTACTCTTAGTCCAGATACGTACGAAAAAGATCGGGCTCTAGGAATTCCTCTTCAACCGAAGAGTACCGGGTATTACCGACGCTAATTACCCCTGCTAGGAAGGACGATAAACGGTATCGCATGTTCTATTATAATGCCGTAGGTTTCGATAACTCCGGCGCCGGGAATTCGGAACCCTTCCAGGATAACATAATTTCCGGGTTATACTAAACAAGCGCAAAGCAGCCGCCAAGTATTACGGCCAGCTAGTCGTAGTGAGTATGTTAACAGAAGTTAAGACTGCGATGCTAAATAAACAGTGTCGTGGTCATAGATGGCTTCCCTGAAGCTATGTCTGTAAGTCTCAAGGTACGTAAGGCTTCGGTGATCAAGCATAATCTTGTCAGCAGGTTCTCAGTGAAGATAGCTGAAAATAATCGGGAGATCTGATACCAAGTTGATTGCCGAAGAAGCTATGGAAGTCTGTCCTTGGCCCGGGCTCGATGAAGGTCAGGCTTGTTGTGAGGCGCCAATAGAAATGGCACAAATTTACCGTTAGTGCTAAGGAGACGACGCATGCTCAACGCTACTCTGGGATCGTGAAACCTGATTTATTGCCTGCAAAGAGGTAACTTGGCCTCGAGCGCCTCTATGACTCGTACTCAGGTCTGCGCCGTGACCAGAAAGGGGCTGAGTCAGTGTACCAAGCATATTAGCAAGGAAAAGCCCTTGATCAAAAGCAATCTCAAAAACGCAAACGCTATTCTGTGAAAGAAACCATTCGAGTCCACAGCGGAGTTTAAGTTGGTCATCATACAGCCAAAGCCTTAGTGGCAGGAACACGGTCTAGTCAGAGCCGCCCATGAGTAAGATGGTGGAAACCAAAAGTCCCACATGAGCACTTTGGTGGTGGTCCACGGTAGCGGTATTTGCGGACAGCGTGATGCAAAGCTAGGGCGTTTTTACTGACGCCGCCTTGCCACTCGATGTTTGCGAGTCATTGTAGCGAAAGGTGAAATTCAAATAACTGCAACCACCTCTTTGTCACATCTCAGTCTTCCACGCGATATCTCTGGATCCGAACTCTATTCACAAAGCTTCGAGACACATATTGCGGATGACCTGAGCTCCCTGCATTTTTGCAACTTCACGGCCCTAATCGAGAGTAACCTAGTGTTGGTGGTCTTCGCCCTACGAATATTTCCTGGTGTCGATCAGGAGGAAGGTTCTGACATGTCGAACTGGAGTGCAACATAGCGGAGGAGGCCCTGGGCGATCATCGGTGTCCGATAAGGGCGAGTAGCATAATGTGGTAATAGAACTGTCTCGTATTGTTGTTAAAGCATTGCACTTCTTTATCACCACCTTTTGCGTCTGTATACATGGGGGTAGTCCACGATAAGGTGAGGGAGTGAAACATTTTCAGCTTGTCAACGTTCTGGCAAAACCTTCCAAGTTGTTGCCTTTACTAGCTGTTACCTAATAGATGAACGGCGCCCATTAGCGCCTCTTCCCGTTGAAAAAAGCTCCGTGACTTCGACTCGAGTCAGGTATGTAAATGTCTTCAGCTCTCCAAGGTATCCGGATACAAACTTGGCCTCCACAACTACCCGGATTACTACGGGGCTCGAATCAAGTGGACAGCATCTTTGGACATCGACCATCATGAGATACCCACCGCCTGGTTTCCCTGACACCGCAAACTTTTGAGGGTGATAATCGAGAAGTGTAACGCCAGCTGACACACCATTTCAAGGCCTACAATATATTTCTTCTTACATGTCCAAGTCCATTACCATTCTCTCAATCCATCGAACTATTTACATGCATGCATCGCACCTAACAAAGCCCTTTTCTCTCGTCCTATTCAGCTTCTGAGAGAAGTGGACTTGCAGCGTCGCGAGAGACCGGCCCGGGAAGTAGCTCGAGAAATCGTTGTGGATCTCCCTCCATGAAAGACCCTGTCCTTTCAGTTGAATCAAAAGTCTATTCTCTTGTTCTGAAAACGGTCGTCTGGACTTGGCAGATCGCCTCGCAGGCTTTCGTCTCTGCATCGAAGAACCTGAAGGCCGACCAACTGAGGGATAGCAATGCGTTTGTTGTCCTTCTGTGGACGGCTGCTCCCATTGCAGTTGAAATGTCGTTACAAATCCATCTGTGGTGCGCTTCAGGACTGGATTCTTGAGAGGCCACTCATCGTATTGCCCAAAGAAGGATCTGGGATCTATTTCGTTATCGGTAGAAGCAGGAGAGACTGGCGAGGTCAGAACTCCACTGATGCCTGATCGTTTTGTAGCCCGCTCTGACCTTCGTCTTGGTTTCAATGCTAAATGCGATGATGTGTCCCGTGATCTCAGAGCCCTGCTAGTGCCAACAGTCTCCTGGGAGTTTATTTTACGACGTTTGGGTTTTGGCCGACCGCGTTGGTCAGAATTGTCCTCACAGCCCTGGGACCTTCGCCGGATTCTGTCAGGGTTGGCTTGATCTCCGAAGCAGTCCTCGTTGGTTCCATGAGCGCCATCCTCATCGCTAGATTCCGGGTCCGAATCGACTTCAGCATAAGCGCCCGCTGGTAGTCGTGATTTGCGAGCTCGGCGACGGACTCGAGATAAGTGTACAGGAGGAGCATCTGATGCTGTCGTCTCAGCATCCAGGTGCATTTCGTCGGGTGAAGATGAACAATTGCTGCGATGAAGTGCCGTTTCTGTGATCAGCGGCTCGCTTCGGTCGGTTGAGCTGGGACTACTTTCTTCAACACCAACATTTGGCCACGGATCGGGAGTCTCTTGTCCGGAAAGGGGTTGGCGTGTGTAAGTTTCGGCGTTACATGGCGTGTCTTGGCCTACGGATGCCAAACTAGAGAACGGCAGCCTACTTTCGGCCAACGCCGGGCTTGGCATCGTGCCAGACTTTTCAGCAGGCCCTCTCGGGGATTCTGAGGCCTCTTCAATTTCCGCGCTGCTGGATGGCACGACTTGTTGATGTTGCAGCCAGACCGTCAAGTCGTCATCGGCTGCTTGACTCACTTGGGGAATATTCTCGGTGTAGGGCGGACTGCTTTCTGGGGCAGAGGTCTCTGAGCTGACAGTCGATGCATTCTTAGTCGACTTTTGAGGGAGAGCCTGGTCGGCTGTGTTGTTGGCAGCTTGGGGACCTGGATCTGGGTGCGAAGGAAGCATTGCCGCCGTGAATGCCTCGGATGGCAACGAATGCGCCGAGACTGGTAGACAGTTGGCAGACCAAGCCGCCGTCTCAGGCGAATTCTCGCGCGTATTGAAGTCCACTGTCACAGGCTTCTTGGCTGAGCTGTGGCCCATATCGCCAGACCCTGGGCAGCGTTCAATCCGCAGATACGGCTTATCATTTGAATTGACTTTGCCCTCGACATTTGACTGCGGAAGGGATTGGGAGGACACGATTGGGTTCTTGTCACGATGACTCTTGATCTGATCGGGCGTGGTCGTTGTGTCGTCTGAAGGAGGGATCGCGGTTCTTCCCATCACAGAACAGGAAGGACTGAGAGTCTGTCTTGTTGTGCTTCGGGCTGCCAATGAACGCACAGCTTGCGCTGGAGCCGAGTAAAATGAAATGTTGTCAAGATTGATGGGCATTTTGGGTTAAACGTTGGAGAGCTCCAAAAGTCTGATGTTTGAGAAGATGAGAGTGTCGAAGTCTATCAGCCAGACGCTCTCGTTTAAGTAGTCGATGCTCAACGACGAGTGCAATGCATTAACGCTTCCGTGTTGTCTGCGAAGCAGAACAGCGAGCACGCCAAGAGGTACACTCTGAACGCCGATATCTACGCATACGATGCCTGGACTGTCCAGGCACATCCGTCCCCCACTGTTCGTAGACAGTGTCGTATTGTTGCCAATCAGCAGTCGCCAGAAGTATACGCCCTGATGGATGCTACTCAACCTGAGACCGGCCCCCCAAAGTCCCGTATGCATCTCGCAGTAGTTCTCGGAGTAGCCGATGACCTGATAAGGCATGGTATGCCATCTTGAGCGCTGAACAGGTCATATCGCCGTTTGAACTGCCATTCCGTTTGCCCGAGGTATCATGCGCTGAGCAGGAGGGATGCTGGCTAGGCTGAAGCGCAAGGCAGACACGCATGAAGCGCCATGCAGTAACCGTCATGATGCATCCATATCAAGAGGCTCGTGCCGCAATAGGCATTCAGCGCGCGCATCTTGAGAGTCGGTCCGAAGGTGACTAAGGAGCCAGACACGGAGATAATCGAGGTCAGTCCAGGCACTGAGTTCAAGGCAAGACTGTCTGACCAGCCTCCTTGCGTCATCAAGCTGGCGCCTGGTGAACAGGGGGTAGGTTGTGACTGGCAGCGAACCTAGGTCATTGCGCGAGATGCGTCCGAGGCACTGAGATATGCAAGACTCAGCAACCCATCGCAAAGTCACCAGCAGAGAGTGGGTTACAACAGCGCATGACGGTACTCTTCACTCTGCCTCTCGTTGTAAAACACTCAGCCCGACCTCCAACTCCGGTTCACGACCGTCCGGACCTCCTACTCTTGAGTCAGAACAAGTTCATAGGGATGAGACTTCGGGTCAGACCTAGAGCAGACGGAGCTGGAGAGGAAGGCGCCTAGGTCGTCTGGAACGTCTCGACACGGGGAGAGAGCTGGAGGCGAGATAGCGGCGTGACTGAGCAAGGTAGCAACGTAAGAGACAAGAGCCACACTGCCCTCGAGCAAGGGTACGACTCAGGAGAAGCAGGAAACCCGAGCGATGGATTTCTCGTGAAAATATTGGGAGGGAAAGGTAGATGGTACAAAAGGTTGACGTCGAGAGGAGGGCAACGCCGTATTTAAGGGCGGCGTCAATTAGCACGGGCAGGGGTGCACGTGCAAAGCGGCGTGGGCGCCATGCCCGATTGGAACGTGCCGCCAAACTAGGAGCGGAAGCAGCGACTTCTCGTTTACTTTATTAACCTCGTTATTAACGTTATATTTATAAATATATACCTATTTTAATAGAAATAGGATCCCTTATTTAAAATTACGGTCGACTTTTTTTTATATATTAATATCCCTTAGTTTTTTTATTTTTATATTTATAATTATAATAAATTCGGGATACGGCCGGTAATAGGACGCTAATAACTTAGTAACTAATATATAGTTCGTATTATAAAAGAACTTTTTAAAAAGTAAAGCCCTTATAAAAGACTTTATAAGCTTTAGTTTTATAATATATTTATATTTATATTATAGCCTCGCTAATTAAGTACTTATAACTTAATCTTTTATAATTTTAAAGTTTTTATTTTTATAAAATAATCAATATAAATAATAATAAATTATAAAAACGAATAGAACGTTAATAAAATAATACTTAGTTATTAATAAAGAGCTATTAATACTAACGAGCTATAGCTATTTAAAATTAATTACTTAACCCTATTTTATCTAAAAAAACGAGCTTATTATAAAGCGAGTTTTATTTAAATATTAGTATTTATAAAAGAGCTAAATAAAAAAAATAATCGAGGTAAATTACTTTTATAAGCTAGTTACCCTATTAATACCCCGAGAACCTTATTTATTATAAACGGGGCGTTTATTAATAACTAATTACTAAACGTACGAGGTTAAGGCGTATATAAAGGCATGAATAGTATTAAAATAGCTAGTTTAATAAACCCTATAAGCTTAATAATAACCTATTTTTATAAAATAATAAAAATAATAATTAAAAATCGAAATTAAAAATAGCGTTAATACGAAGAGCTTATTTAATAATTTATTAAATAGCTAGTAACGCGTCTAAGTTAATAAAAATATTAAAAGCCTCTTTTTTATAACTATAAACCGATTAAAAAAGAGTTTACGAGTACCTAAGTAGTAAACTAAATTATTACTATAAAAATAGATAATAAGCTTTATATAAAAAGTATTATAGAATAGTATATTAAATAAGCCCTATTTAAAATATCCTTATTATTATAAATATAATAATATAATTATAAAAAGAGTTTTTAAGATCCCCTCTCCTAGGGCGACTTCTTAGCGTTTATTTATTAATAATACGTAGACCCTAAGACTTAAGAATAAGAATATTATAAAGAGCTAAGGATAAAGAGGCTAAAGAAGGGCTAAACCCTTACTTAGTTCTTTACTAAGTAATTAGTAATTTATTATAATTTAAGTATAAAAAATATAGAAAATTCAAAAGTAGAAGTATACTAGTTCTTTTTTAAATTATTCTTTTAGTTATAGGACGATTTAATTTATTATAAGGTCTTAATTAAAAAAGTACGTAATATAGCTTACGAAGCTAATAAACTATAGTTATTAAATTAGTAAAAGGGCGGTAATTAGTTATAAAAAGATAATAAGAAGAGGCTATATTTATTATTAAAATAACTACGTTAAATATTCCCTTTTTATAAAGAAAAGAATAAAGAGAGCTCTAAGGGGCTAGGCTCTAAGGACTCATTAAGAGTAATATTATAAAAACTATATAATAAGAATACTCGTACCGAGCTATTATAAAAGCGTCGTAATAATAATATTAAATACTTTATATATAATAAAATAGGCTATATATTTAATAAGTACTAAAAAAATAAGTCGGGAAGTAGGGGTAATAATAAGTTAACGTACCCCCGATCGAAGTTAACGTTAATAACTATCTAATAAGTTATTATTAAACTAAGAGTTATAGAGGTCGACTTATTAAAAAACGAGTAAGTATAAGTAATATACTTAATATACTTATACTAAGTATTAAAAAGGTATTAATAAGAATAATTACGAAAAGTAGGGTAATAGTTCTACGAAATATTACTAAAAAGCTAGTAAAAGTTAACATAAATATATATTCTAAGATAAATATTATTAATACTAGGCTCGTAACCTATTTAGGGTTAACCCCGGTTATTATTATAGCTCCCTTATTAAAGGATTTTTAGAATAAAGCCGTAGACTAGGGGAAAGCTTATTAATTAACGCTCTTTTTTATTAATTATTATAAGTAGTTAAGGAAGATTTAGTAACTATTTGCTATAGTTAATAAAGATAAAAAAATAGTAAACCTCTTATTATTATAACTATTAATAAGCTAAGAGGGTATTCGTATTAATATAGTAACGAATATATAATCGTACGAGCCTATTTTAGTTACTAAACTAGAGGTAATAGCTCGTAATATTATTAAAAATTATAAGAGGGTATACGTACTATATATTACTATTATAAAAAGTATTATAGGGGTAATAAAAACTAAACTATAAGGGGGTTTATTATTAGAACTTTAATTAGAAATAAAAACGTTTAATAAGTAATTAGTAAAAGGACCGTAGCTATATAGCGGGGTAAAATACTTAATTAACTTAGTTTTAAGTACTAAATTACTATATAGTCCTATTTATTTATTAAATAAGAATTAATTTAATAAGCTTTATATATATATTACTAAGAACTTAGCGAACGGTCGTATTATACTTTTAGTTAATAAGGCAGGGGTACCGATCTTTTTTATATTAAAAAAGGATAGTACGCTACGCCTTTATATAAATTACTATAGGCTAAATAAGGTAATTATAAAGAATCGATACCTATTACTACTTATTAATAAGTTCTTAAATAGGCTTTACGGAGTAAAATAAATTTTAAAAATAGATATTAAGAATACTTATTACTATATCCGAATTAAAAAAAAAGATTAATAAAAAATAGCGTTCTAGAGCTAATACGGTTATTTTAAGTATATTATTATACCTTTTAAGCTAACGAACGTACCCGTAATATTCTAAGTATATATTTACTAAGCGCTCGCCGATTTACTAAATACTTATTATATAGTATATATAAATAATTTAATAATCTACTTAATAATAAAAAAGTAGTATATAGAAAATATTAAAAAAGTCCTCTAACGTTTACGATTATATAGGCTTTTTACTAAATTATTAAAATACTCATTTTATTAAAAAAGGGTCGAGTTTTTAAGTTATATTATTATATTAAAAAGAATCGAGATTAACTCGTTACGAGTATAAACGATTACTAACTAAAAAGTACTAGAATTTATTAAGGATATTTAAGTATTCTTAGGGTTCTATAATTTTTATTAAAAGTTTATTATTAAATACTTAGGTATCGTTATACTAATAATAGTATTATTAAAAATAAAAAAGGGGTAGATAAAGGATTTTTAATAAACTAAGGAAATAAACGAGGCGTTTAATTAGTTAAAGGTCGCTTTTATTTTAGTAATCGTATTTATATACTAAAACTTATAATATATTATATAAATAGAAATTAATACTTTAGTTAAAACTATCGTAGTAATTTTATTATAATAAGCTAATAAAAAATAGCGACCCGTTATTTATTAGTTATAGAAGCTTTTAGATATAGAGTAGTAATAAACTACGGGCTAATAAGAACTACTCGCTATAATAAAAAAGCTAGAGTACTAGGCTTATTATTTCTAGGGCCTTTTATAAAAGTTTATAGTTTTAATAAATTACTAAGTATTTAAAAAAATAATTAGTATACTAGCGCGGGACTTTTAAAAAAGGCTTACGAAATAAGTATATAAACTATTAATATTCAACTTTAATTTAAAATACTAATTAAGGAAAA